GACCAGGATGGTCTCGATCTCTTGACCTCGTGATCCACCCGCTTCGGCCTCCCAAAGTGCTGGGATTACAGGCTTGAGCCACCGCGCCCGGCCAATTTCTCCCCATTTTATAGACAAGGAAACTGAAGCTTAGACAGTTCTGGTCCCATGCCATGATTGACCAAGTATGTACCACAGTCAGAGTCTCTCCAACTCCAGACTCAGTGCCCTCAGTCCATATGCTCCACTGCCTTTCTCATGTGCTACTTTTTAAATCAGAAACAGTAAGTGTTGTTTAAACATTAAAAAAAGGACTATTTCTGTCAGTCTGATAATACTTACTGATCACTACAGTTAAAATTCCACAGAAAAAGGGTGCCCCTCTTGTAAGTGATAAGTCTGTAGTTTGTAATTTTGATTCCTTACAAATAAAAAGCTGCTGCCAGGCCTGCTTATTAAGATCAAAGACTGATAATGGAATTATAATTATGACTACTACAAATCCAAACCCAAACAAAACCCTACCAAGCAAAGAAAGCTTCTACTTTTATTTACGCATGGTAAATTAAAAATGTGTTCATAGATTTTTAATGTTCTTGTAGGCTCCCAGAGAGTATATTTATACTGTTGACACCATTGAGATGCTAACTGGCTATATCTGAAACCTAAATCTTATTATTAGTTTCCAGTCTCTAGTAACGTATATCAGGAAGTTGGCACGTGCAAAGAACAAATTCATCTCATAAAAATTCTTCTCTGAGAGCTTCCAAACATAAATAATGGGTAATATTTAATTTTGAACCTTCGGCCATTTTCTGGGTTGGCTCAGTTAGAGCAAGTGCTTTCACTCAAATACATATTTTTCTTTTTCCTACATTCAGATCTTCTTAGGAAGGGAAGGGAAGGTGTAGTTAAGGAGTGCTTCACCAAAAATACATAGCACATATGCTGTAGAGCTATTAGAAAATTACAGCTGCATAAAACTTAGCTCTTAACTTTCATATTTCTGACAGGGCCTCACTTCATGACCCTTGTTATAGTCAAGACTTAGATGGCTGTCTTTTAATCTCTTAGAAATATCCCTCCACAGACAAGACTGGCTTGGTAAGATATCTCTCACCTTAGAAAATAAGAGATCAGGCTGGGTGCAGTGGCTCATGCCTGTAATCCCAGCACTTTGGGAGGCCAAGGTGGTGGATCACCTGAGGTCAGGAGTTCAAGACCAGCCTGGCCAACATAGCGAAAACGTGTCTCTATACTAAAGATATAAAAATTAACCGGGTATGGTGGCGCACACTTGTAATCCCAGCTACTCGGGAGGCTAACGCAGGAGAATCGCTTGAACCAAGGAGGTGGTAGGTTGCAGTGAGCTAAGATTAAGATTGCTCCACTGCACTTCAGCCTGGGCAACAGAATGGGACTGTCTCAAAAAAGAAAGAAAGAAAAAAAGAAAAGAAAGAGATTAAACATCCATACTGGGCAAGCTAACAGAGAGGAACAGGCAAGTGACAGAAAGTACAATAGAAAGACAGACAGTTTTGCAGTCAGCAAATCTGGATGCCTGTTCCCAGGATGTCACTAGCTAAATGTCAGAGGTTGGCCCATCTATACTTCAATTTTCTTATCTTTCAAATGGGATAATGAGTGTCCTATCTATCAACTTTAAGGGATTCCATTTTTTTCCTGAAAGGAAAAAATGAGATAGCAGATAATGAAGTGTGTGAAAACTTTAAGAGGACAAAAATATTAAGGCATGCGTGTGTGTGTGTGTGTGTGTGTGTGTGTGTGTGTGTGTGTGTGTTTGGGGAAAGGGAATGACATTACATGAAAGTAGTAAATACCATTAAAGAAACCTTGACAAAAATCATGTCTTTGGAGAGGATTCCACCAAACCAAGTGCCCCTTCCACAGGGCCATGCATTGACAAGCTTTCTGTCAGGTAGTCTGCCAACCTGGCCCCCAGACGCAGGAACCAGAAACCTTGTATGGCCAAAGACAGCCATTAATACAGGCTAGTTAGGAGTGAGGCCAGTGGTGTGGGAATGTTGCCTGGCAGGGTCTTCACAATGGGTACAATTCTTGCAGTATTCTGTACAAAGACTCAGACACACAGAGCATTAGAGGCAGCTCTGTCACCAGACGGAAGAGACATCTGCCTCACTGCTGCAGGTGGTTGGACGTTGAGATTTTTGTGAGTCCTTGCTACCCGGCAGGGCCTTTTAATAAGCCTAAACTACCAGAGGTACGAAGGCTGGTAGAGGATATGTTGATGCAGAATATATTTTAGGATTTTCTCCCTATGTTGGCCCAATAATTTAAGAAGATGGTAGATTATTCCAAGATGTTAATCCTGATCTAGTGATATATTAGTTTTTACAAAATTTTCATTATAATGTATTCTCAGCATGAGTATTAATATTTTTTTTTTTTTTTTTGAGATGGAGTCTCACTGTGTTGCCCAGGCTGAAGTGCAGTGGCGCCATCTTGGCTCGCCGTAACCTCCGCCTCCCAGGTTCAAGTGACTCTCCTGCCTCAGCCTCCTGAGTAGCTGGGATTACAGGCGCATGCCACCACACCTGGCTAATTTTTGTATTTTTAGTAGAGAAGGGTTTCACCATGTTGGTCAGGCTGGTCTCAAACTCCTGACCTCGTGATCTGCCCGCCTTTGCCTCCCAAAGTGCTGGGATTACAGGCGTGAGCCACCAGGCCCGGCCAAGTATTAATATTTTAAAATAAATTTTAAAAAGGCTACATATTCCTCATCTTAGTAATATGCATTCTTTGCTATTGAAATCTTACAAATGTAAGTTATTTAATAATTGTTCCCTGTGGGAGTTAAGAGGAAAAATAGAACACACAGTACAGTGTTGTATCTTACTTGGCATTTCCAACTTCATTCATGCGAAAACCTTTTTTCCCCTTATGTAATTCACAGTTCTTGAAATCTCTAGCCTCAGCCTAAATTTCAAACCACCTAGTCAGTTTATTAAAACCAAAGCAAAACAAACAAACAAACAAAAAGATAAGAATATTTGAGAACTTGATCAGCAATCTCAGAACAAAGAAGTTCCAAGACAGATT